CGTTCTGTGATTCTGTTCTGTGATTCTGTGTTACTAATCCAGATGAATCAGTGATGAAATGGAAGTCAACAAACACACAAAAAATCTGTGGTTGAAGTTACCTTTGAGTTGATCTTTCCTAGTAGCTCAGAAGTGGCAGAACCCAGAATTTATCTCCTGCCATGATAGTAAAGGAAGCTCTGGATAGTCATTGTGTTTCCTTTGGTAGAGCTGTAGACTGTTATTCAGTTAAGATTCTCAAACTGCTTTTTAGCCTTTTTATGGAGGGAAATGTTTGAAAACTTGTTTTTTTTTTTTAATTCAGTTGGAGCTCAATTCATTTTGTGAATGAATTCAAAGTGCCTTCAAGGGGCACAGTGGAGGGGAATGTGCTGCTCTCCTCTCTGGTGATCAGACAGAATGGAATGAAACTGCAACAGAGGAAATTCAGATTGGACATTAGGAACAAGTTCTTCACTGAGAGGATGGTTGGTCACTGGAACAGGCTCTCCAGCAAGTGGTCGTGGCACCAAGCCTATCAGAGTTCAAGCAGTGTCTGGATGATGCTGTCTATGGTTTAGTTTTAGATAGTCCTGTAAGAAGCAAGGAGTTGGACTTGATCTTTATGGATCCCTTCCAACTTGAGATATTCTATGAAATATAGATCTTATGGGCATGGCAAATAGACAGGCATTTTCATTAGTCGCTACTTTTTCCAGGGAAGATATGCTTAGCAACTAACTGTCTCACTAGAAATAACCAAATCTATGTGAAGACTGACATCAAACAGTGGTGTCTCAGGAGCAGAGGCAGAAGTTAGATGAGAGATGATACTTCTTGCTCCAGAGGTGCATATCTTCATTATCATTTTTTTACTGTTGCATATTAATTAGATGTATGCATAATCTTCGACTTTTAGACAGGCACAGGATGCCTATGCTAATGTTCTCACCATTGCTATCCCTTTTACTTCAGTAGAGGTGGGGTGTGGGGAGATGTTGGTCTTCCTCTTGGTCGCTTATGCGCTTTTCTTTGGTCCCTGTTTCTCCTTTAGGTGTGCATAGAAGGGCTTGGAAATTATGCAACCATGGTTTTCTCTAAATTGGATCTATTTCTAACTTCCTGCTGTAGCATATTGGAGATGTTTCCTATTACTGCAAATGGAAAGTTCCCTAATCAATGATAGTTGTTGTAATGAGATTACTGCTAAATGGGCTTTAGGATTGTTGGAGGTGGTGGTGGGTCAATAGCATGAAGTATGAAAGAATCTGTAGACATGAGAAACAGCTACAGGTATGTACAAGCAATGGCTCAGTGCACAATGTATGTGGGATGGAGTCCTCATTGCGACTTTCATGTTGGTTTGAATTTGTCTTCTCCTTTTGTCAAGTGCTCTCCACTGTTGGTAGATGTAGAAGTGAAATATTATCCCAAGGCCTCCCTTCTTCCATGATACAGTCTTGGTTTGCACAGCATATGATAAGGATATGTAGTTGTTGATATCATCCTACCAATTATTAAGTGAACAGTATGTACTTCAGTTTAAACTCCGTCTGTTGGGAAGATAGTTTCACCTTTTGCATGCTGTCACTACCAGGATGTTGAATTTATGTTTTAAGTTTGAAATACTGATAGTCAGTATCTTTCTGCAAAGGTAGAATCAAACAAAATTTGTGGCAGTGGAACACCAGCATTGTATTTTTGTTGCGGAATATTAAAGGATGTTTTTTAACCTTCAGTTACTCAAGAACTTCACTTCATTAAAGGAAAGTGAACAAAAAAGTTGCCAGTTGGTATGGAATGGAAGAAACAAGAATTGAAAGACTAGAATTAAGCAGTAGTTAGAGGACATTTTTATTCAGTGTTTTGTCGTCTTTGCATTATTTGAGCTTTCCTTTACTTGTCAAAATGTGGTAACATCAACACTTTTTTCAGGTTTATATTGTCTCTCTGTTTGTAATGGTTTTCATTAAATCAAAGTGTGAAGAAATATATGAAGATTGGTGCAGACTGTGCAGATTGATGTTGACAGATTTTGCTCTTTTAGAAAGCAAGAAAACATTGGCTTGTTTAATTCCCCTTTAGAACTCATGTTCACTAAGTGCTAGATGAAATCCCATGAGAAGGCTTTTCATTCTATTTTCAGTATGGCTTTTCAGTTCAGAGGTGAAAGAAGACAGTTTGAGATGTAACAGATTGTCTGAGATGACCTCACAGAAATTTAACCTGAAGGTTATCTAAGGCCTGATTTTACAGAGCACATCATCTAGTTCTTAATTTCAGGTTTATGTTTGAATCCATGCCAGTTGAGCAAAATACATGTCTTCTTTCTTACCTTCTGTTAAAAAACTGCCTTACTTTAACAGGAAAGGAAAAGCCACCAAAACACAGTCTAAATCATAGTGTGTCTCCCAACATACGGTGGAGCATGTAGAATATCAGAAATAGACCACACCAGTCATTTAGGTCTTGGGTCCCCCATCAGCAGCCATGGCACATATACAAAAGCATAACTTTTGTGCTGCAAACCTCTCTTGGTAGGTCAGGTTCCTTGATGACTTCTGCAGCCTCCTGTCCAGCCTGCTGATCTGGTGCAGCTTCATTAAGGCTGATTGGGTTTTTCCTTAGTCTGCTTATCTCTTGTTGCTGTAGGCAGCCCTGTGTCTGCCTACCTTTGATTTTCTCCAAAATGCCAGTGTGCAAGTTAGCCCATGTTAAGTGAAAATTGGGGACTTTTTTAGTTGCTAGAAGTGCAGAGCTCTGTTCTGCTATGCATCCTGACATGGCTCCTCTGAAAACACTTGTTTCTAAATTCTGTATTCATTCTTGCATTTCAATGGAGGAAAGATAATAATGGCCATTCTTCACCGGCTTAATAAAACTTTAAAATACATGGATAAAATGGAAGATCTGTGGTTTGTTTATTTGGGTTTTTTGTGGATTGTTTTTTTATAGAGTGAAAATGCCACACTGAACATAATTCCAGTATGTTCCTGTTGAATGGACACAGGAGCCTGAAGGAGCTAGTCTAATAAACTACTTTGGCCTGCACATATGGATGATGGGCAGTGTAGCACAAGGGCATCACAGGAAAGAAACCTAGTTTCAAATAGGTGCAGCATGACCCACTTTTCTTCTTCTGCTGTATGGCATTCTGCTGCTGGCTTCTGTTTGTGTGGGCTGATCTCCTTTGGTGCTGTCAGCTCTGTTGACCCTTGCGTTAGTTGGTGGCTGGAACTAATGTCCAACATGTTTTATAACTGTGTTTCTCAAAATCTACCCCTGCTTACTTTTCCATGCCGTTATGGGTATGGAGGAGGTTGGCATCCATTGTGTTTGATCCAGATGTGATGGAGTTGGAGGGCAGGGACTGGCTCCATATTGTGCCTCTGTTTAGCTGTGCGAGAGTCACAGCTTGGCCTGGTAGCTAGTGCCGAGTACTGAGTTTTGATCTATTATCTCAATGGGGTGGTGGTGGGGAGGAGGATTACTGGGGAGGGAAATAACCCCTTGAATTTTACTCTTGAGTGAATCTTAATCTTTAAATTAGTAAGAATGTGAGATTTCCCTTGCTATGATTTTAGAATAACTGTAATAATTTTAAGAAAACAAAGCCTAGGAACATTATGGTATTGAATGTAGAGTAAACTGGTGTTTGAAATGATGCATTGTACATCTGCACATATCAAAAAAAGACTTTAATTTCCTAATTTGTTTTTGATCTGACCCCCCTTTCCTCATGTTCATCCCTGTTTTATTTTCTTCCTTTTGTGTCTATAATTGCATGCATTATTAGAACTGGCAAGATGAGCACCTCCGGATGCATCCTACAGGAACCCAGCCAATGCTGACTATTCCCATGTCAGACTGCATGCCAAGTCAGTGAAGCTTGGTTGTCAAAATCTATTCCCTTTCTATGCTGCTTCTAAACCCATGTTCTCACATATTTTTTCTTAACTGATATTTTATGCCCTTTGAATAAAAAAAAAGTTCACTAATTTTACTAAACATAATGCATTAGTGTTGTGAAGTCTTGCAACAAGACAACAACTCTTTCTTTTGGGAAAGTATATAGTAATTTTTACTTATTAATTTACAGGTATCAGGCAACAGCATATCAACGTTGCTCCTTCTACAGGATCTTTTCCTAATTGGAGATCTATACTATCACCAACACGGCCTTCCACAGAAACTAAGACTTCCTCAGTAGCTGATATTTCAATGGGACAGACTTTGGAGAATGCAAACTTGCTTCAGATGATAAAAACAACACTGACTGGCACACGTACCAGGACTTTGGATCAAACTCATCTGTCACCCACCCTGTATCAAGGCAGTGGAAACAGTGCATCCCAAGAACCTGCTGAGGTTTCAGCTGAGTTGCCTCTGAGGTCATCATCTCAAGATGCAGATGAAACAGCTGCTGTATCAGGTTTGCCTCAACTTGGTATGTTTGTCACATTGTCCACTACACCATCAGCGACACATTCAAGTACAGCTGTGCCATTTCAGCCTATACCATTAGAAACACCCTCAATTTCAAAAGAAAGCGTATCAGGATCAGACATGCTTGCTGCTGTTCCATCACCTTCATTCTCATCATTGGTAATTCAGTCACCTCATATCATTAACTTTTCTAAACCAGCTGTACTGCCCATCAAAGTGCCTTTGTCTGCAGATCCTGAAGGCTTCTTCAACACAGCTTCAGCCAGCTCACAGGTTAGTGAAAGCAGAAATAGTCCTCTAAGCATGGTCACTGTATTACATTCCAGTGTGGTGAACCGCAGAAGGGGCCCCGAGTTGTTTACAAGTACCATGCCTTTCAAGCTCTTTGGATCTACAACAGTGCATTTCATAGAAATAGTGGGAAAGGGGTATCCTTCTAAAAGGACCTCTTTATTGTCTGTATACTCTGATACTCCTGTGTCAAAAACATACCAGTCTTCCCTGCCAGTAACTTCCAGAAGCCTGTCATTGTTTCCTAATGAGAGCGTGTATAATGTATCTTCTACTGGAGTAAAACCAAACAGTCAGCCGTTTAAGGCAGTGTTGACTGACAGAAACAGAGATATCACTCCCCTGTCATCACTAGTTTTTCAGGATAAAGCAGAGGTTCCTACATCAGTCTTCCATCTTGTGGATACTCCACACCTAATACCCCAAATGAGTCATTGTCAGTCTTCCACAGCACTGACTAATTGCACGACAAGCACTACCAGTGCACCTCTCATGTCATCAGTTTCTGAGAGTCTGGCTAAGGTCTCCAGCTCAACAGAGAGCACATCTTCCCTTTCATTGCCAAAATCACTTATTCCAGATGCAAAGCACACTCACAATGCAGTGCTGCCAGTAGAAGCATTTATAAATGAAACAGATATTCTCTTTAGAAATGCAACACACTCCTCTTCAACAACCACAAGGTCTCCCTTGCTAAGTGAGACAAATGACACCTTTACTAAGATAGCACGCACAAACAGTCCCGGTGCAGCAGCAACTGATGAGGGTACTTTGCAAATCCCTTTGATTGTTCCCTCACAGCACTCAGTGATGGTTCTGAATCAGACTTTTGTGGAAGACCTGATGAATGGAGCTTATCAGGCAAGCAGCATGCGATTGCCGACTGCTTCTGCACATAGTGTCCCAACTTCTGATGGCTTTCCTGTGGCAAGAACAGCTCAGAAGCCATTCATGAGAGGAGTGACAGCAAAGATGTCTGCAAACTTTAATGCTAATATTGTTCTGCCTTATAGATCTCAGCTTTCCAAAGTTACTTCAGAAATACAAACCAGTAAACTCCCCAGAGGATCAAAGATACTAGGCACCGTTCTGGAAACGCGCATGGCTAGTCCTCATCTAGCTGCAGTGCTGTTGAATACTTCCACTACAGGCCTTTCAAAACCTGAACCTGCTATCACAAATACATCTGCTGCGAGTGTCTTTGTGACTGCACATCTTCCCCCTGGTGCTGCAGAGAGTCCAGACGTAACTGCAAATAAAGACAGGAGTATGAAAATACCCCGTGTTGTGACCCCACGTGCAGAATATTCACCTCCAGAAGCTTTCAATCATTTTACCTCTGGTCAGACTTCACCTTCAGTTGATAGAAAGTATCTCGCCTCCATCACTCCTCCAATTTGGGGTATGCAGCCATCTCTGGTTTCCGTGACAACGGTGATGGCTAGCCAAGGCTCCAGCTTTTCTGGGATTTCGAGTGCAGACTCTGAAGGCAATTTAGATCCTGTCAGCTCTCCTGAAGTCGCAACTTCAACTTCTATGTGGACCAATACAGCATTGCTGTCTTCAGCTGGCATTAGTATTCCTTTGGTAAATACTTCAATCAAAATGGGAATAAGAGAAGTTTCGCCAAGTACTTCTCCATGGGAAACTGAGTACCGTGTACCATACTCAGTAATTTCAAGTCTGCAAAAGAAAATGAATACAAATAAGCAGTCGCTTTTCTCCACCCCTTCAGAAAACCTTACATATACAAACTCTAGTAAAAATGTTTCAAATTTACCCTTCACTGGAACAAAGTCAAACAGTTTTCTGGAATTTTATGTAGATGCATTTGCACTGAAAACATCTCCTGTTCAGCATTCATCTCTTGTTACCAGTTTGACAGTGCCTGACCCTCTGCAAAAAAAGCATGGAAGCACAGCTGAAAATATTGCTAATTTCTTCACTGTTGGAGATGTTAATATCAGTATACACTATGAAGCACCTCCCCATTTAAATGTGCTTCCTGTTAATGATACAGGTGCTTTCCCTAGCTTTCTAGAATCACAACCATCTGATGGTGGAAAGATTACTTTGCTTAAAAAAACCTTGGGCACACCACCAACATTGGCTTTTCAGCTCACTGACAACTTGACTTTTTCAGCCAGCTATGAAAACAGTGCCATCCACAGCATACTGCCAACTGAGTCCCCCTTTCCCCAAACCAAGCCTTCTAGCTCAACTCTCTTGCATAGTTTTATTACAGAAGAGGACATCAGTTCTGGAAATTTGCCAGAATTTGCAGATGATCAATTAGAATCCTCTGGTTATTTGATTACAGCTGATAAAAATCCAGCTACATTTAGTGTGGAGGAGTGGGACACAAGTGCTACAAGACATAGTCTAGTTCCCAGTAATATATCTAAGAAAACTACCAAGGGCATCCCATTGCAAACCCCTAACACCAGTGCTCTGCAGTCAGTCATCATAACTTCTGTCCATGCATCACCAACACCACTAACTTCTCCTTTTTTGTCAACAACCAACTTTACTCATTCTGTCATTACAGTGTTATCTGGAGTATCTTCTGGTGCAATACCTACAGTAGGAACTTCAGAAGCAAAACCACTAACAAGAAAATCATCTCCAGCTTCACCAGTGCCAGCTTCTTCCTTCTTTTCTCTAGGCACTGAAAACACACCTTTGCCATCTGTGATGGCTTTAAGCACACCGATAGTGACACTAACAAAAAATCACACTACCACAAAATTGGCGTCAGATCTAAGCTCAGTAGGAACACATACAGATTTTCCTTTTGCAACAAGAAACACGACTGCATCACCTGTGGACATGACAGCTGTGCTCATAACCCCTAAAAGCGGCACAGTCACAGCTTCCACACTTGCATCCACAGCACATATACCAAGGCAGATGGAAACAACAGTAACTGACATCCAGAAGTTCCTAAGCTCAGAAATCACCAAAACGTCAACCCCATATCCACTGACAATTACAGCAGCTTTGACATCTATTACAGCATCAGCGAAAACAACTAGGCTTCTCCCTACTCCAGTGGAAAACACCTCTGCTCCTCCCGAAACCACAGCAGCAGCCGCTTTCGCTAACATGACAGCAGCTCCTCCCCTGGATTGCCGGCTCTCCAGGAACCTTATGGTTAAAACAGGTATGTGAGGCCCCTGAATTTGCTGAAAGGACCTCGCTTGTCTATAAGGGGCAACTGATGATGAGCAGGAAATACACTCAAGTGTCAAGTAACGTGGGGGCATTAGTGATTCATCTGGGGACAAGACTGCTGCACTGACAAACCAGACAGATAGAAGCAGAGTTGCTTGTATAGGGATGGCCTTGGCTTTATTTGTAGCTTAGGATTTGCAATGAATGTGTCAAATGAAGTAGTGCAATCAGGTGCTCTGAAGTTCAGAGGGTCACTGCAGGGATCTAACAGAACCACCTATGTGGAGGGATGACCATGTAGGATGTGATGGTTTGCTCTCTACTTTGCAGTAAGGAGTCTGTGTTGCTGAAAAAGACAGTGCAGTAACCTTCCTCAGTCTTTGGCCCTGTTTATGTAGGAATACCTGATTCTCTTTTTATATGAACAATTAATTCTGTCATTAAAGATTCCTTTGAAAAGAATGTTTAGTATTTAGAGTTGTACACTTCAAAATGAGAGGATTTTGAACTTTCTTTGTTAACAGTACCACTTCTGGCTATAGCTGTTTCTTTCACAGACAGCTTTTCCTTATCTTTGAGAACGCTGAACTATAGGGGCCTGCAGAGGACACTTGCCCAGGCTTCATATGGATGCCTTATGGTAGCACAGTGCAGCACCAGAAGATGTGTGTATCTTGGAGATCTCAACAAAGGATAGCTACATAAAAGGGTTTATGACCTTGTGTAGAACTGAATCACACTGGAGACAATGAAATAAGCAGCTTTTGGACCTAATATATATTTAGTAGCTGCCAAATATCTATGTCAGTAGTATGATGACTACAACAACTATTTCTAAAAATAGAAGTAGCTTGTTTGTAATTTATAATTGAAAGTACTTAAGTGGAGCTATAAAAATCTTTCTGCATCTTATAAGAGAAAAAGAAAAAAAGCTAGTGATAATGTTAATAAATAAAGTATATTAGAAAGTCTGACATATTAGAAAGATTACTTCCTAAATGGAAAATAATTGTCACAGTGGAGTAACACATTTCTTTGCTTATTTGACTCTGGCCATGAAGGTATGAGGCATGTGTCCTCTATGTAGGCCTGCCTGTGCAGCACCAGCTCAGTCTCTGGGAATGCTGCACCAGTCTGTCTGCAGGCAATTGAGTGGTGCCATACCTCACTCAGAACAGCAACATGACCAAGTCTTGTTGTTATTGCTAACAAAATTCAATTTCTTGAACTTTGCTCTGGAAACAATGGGCTATGGCCATGGGATGAATAGGGAACTCGGGGATGCTGCTGAGCCTCTGCAGTTCTTCCTCCCATTGGCGCTGCTGCAAATTCTGGCTGCTTTGATGATCTCCACCCAGGTAGCCCAACATGAAACAATTATAAAAGCAAACAGTAGTATGATGGTATCTCAAACTGACATGTGGCTTTTGTTGTTCCACAGTTCTGATTCTGAACACAAGGAGAATGCTGATCAGCAGTCCCTTCAAGGAGAGTGTGAGAAGAGGCCTCAACCAAGTGTTGAGACAAGCTTTCAACCAAAATGTCAGCGCTCAGGTAAGGATGCTTGGCTTCCCTACATGATACCACTGAAACAGCTCTCCCACCAAGAGAATCCCAGCTGGCTGCAGCGCCAGTGGTGCCTCTTGGAGATCACCAAGCTTTTCTTATGGAGAGCAGACAGGCGGCATCCAGTCTGGGCTCTAAAAATGTAAGGACCACTCCAAAATGTTTGCTGTTTTATTTATTTATATCAAAGAACCATTTTGGGAAACAACTACTGACAGCAGTTTTCTCCTCCCCTGCAGCTCAGGAATGTCTTCGGTTCATGGTCAGCCAAGTGCTGCTGTGCTCAGCCTGGATCAATTGCAAGGGCAGGGCTGGCAAATGGGGTGTCACTGCTGTCAGTCCGCTCCCTGGTTTGAAAACCCGGTACCTGACAAGTGCAATTCTGTGGGGACAAAAATCCTGAGCAGGGAGAAAGCATATTTTATTGGAAATAAATGAGGGAGACTTGTTCATTACTTTGCAGCTAAATTGCACAAACCTCTGCATGTGAGAGCAGGCTGAGGTGGATCGCTGGGACACTTCTTTCCAACACAGGTTCCTATGCCTTAGGTAGGGGATTGTGCTGAGTCCAAGGCTGTTAAGAGTTATATTCACCAAGCCACTGGAAAGGAAAAAAATAATTTTGCTCAAAATAGAGGTCATAAGGTTGGCTTTTATTGCCATGCTCTATTGCAACAAATTTGGATGATGTTGATTGGTTTGGGAATTGTATATTCTTGAGTCTCAGCAGCAGCAATGAAAACTGTCAGTCTTATTCTTCCTCCTTCTTGTAAACCTGAGAGAAGCTACCTTTTTCTAATGAAGGAAACCAGCTAAAACTTAGTGCGGAGGCCCAGTTCCAGGGCTTAAACTTTTTGGAAAATACAGAATTTTGAGGTAAAATGCAACTCATGTTTTGGCTCACAGCATGTTCATTCTTGTGGTTTATGATTTCTACTCATATAGCTGATAGTTTAACCATCTGAGGCAGTATAGGAAAAATAATATAGAAGAGACAGTTGAGGTTGAAGAATCAAATACTGAAAACTTTTGTCTTTCAAAGATCTGTCTCCAAACCTGCAATGACAGACATATGCTCAGAGGCAGTGAACTTCAGGTATGAAGTAGGAGCTTGATGTTCTCTGGATTCTCTGTATTTTCACATTCATAAGTAAAATGTCTCGGTATATATCCATGAATGAAGCCTTAGTCTAAATTAGTCTAAACATGAGCTGTGGTAGCAGTACTGTGCTGCTTCAGTTCAGAGCATGTTTTGCATGGGCTGGGTCTAATGCTCCCTGCACAATTCTTTTAATACCATGTCTGATATGACACTAACTGATTCCGTAAGGTTTATAGGGGATTACAGGATGAAAACCTTGCAAGGGAGCTATATTCAGGACGAGAAGTCCTGTCAAATAGTGGTTGAATGGCAAAGAAAATAATAAAAAAAATTCCCTGTGTGTTTTAGGTTGAAATCCTGGAACAATCAAATAATGTAACAGTTGGTTACTATGTTACACGGGGCAGACTGGTTTTTATGCCAGCTGCTGTAATTGAAAGGCTTCTGGCGTACGGCATTAGCAACGCCACAGCTGACATCAAGCAGCATGTACCACATCTCCAGTCCATAGCAGCCTTGGCCTTGCCATGGAAGCCCCTTCCTGCATACCGCTTCCAGCTGAAAACAGGTGAGCAGAGCCCTGCCTGTCCACATCTGGGGTTGTGTGTGTGTTAATGCTGCCATGCACAGGGATGATGCTCCTGTTCCCCTTTGCTGTCCTGCCTCAGCCCCTGCTTGCTGCACAGCAGGACAAGCTCTGATTTGGTTTCGCTTGTTGGTGTTCCTGACATGAGCAGGACAGCTGGTACGTACATCCCTGTCCTGTGTGGTGCTCTGCTGTCACCTCTACTGGCACTGCTGTGAAATAGAGTGGCATTGCCTTAGGGATGAGTCGTGCCAATACGCTTGACTAAGACTTGGCATTTGATTAAATGGATTTTAATTGATGGGTTGTGCAGTAACCTGTGTATTTCTTTTGAGGATGATCAGATGAGAAATATGACTATATCGTGTATATACATATGTATTGTTCTGGCTGGACCTGAGATCACTGTTTAACGCCTCTGTACTGCAGAAGGCATCAGTGCAGCAGTTGCAGTGCAGCAGAACAGTATAAGCTACGAGAGGGCAGAGAGTGCTGTAAAACAGCATATTCAATTGTAAAAATATTTCTTATATGTATGCTTACATGTTTATAATGGAATCATAGAATGGTTCAGGTTGGAAGGGGCCTTAAAGATCGTCCAGTCCAACCCCACTGCCATGGGCAGGGACACCTCCCACTAGACCAGGTTGCCCAAAGCTTTGTCCAGCCTGACCTTGAACACTTCCAGGAGGAGGGGGATATACACATACTTATTGCAGTTACCCAGTTAAGTATATTTTTACTAGCATAAACAGAATGAGAATCAATATTATGATTGATTATGTCTTGCGAGAGCAAATGACCTGCAAGATTTAAGAGTATTACACGTGGTTTAGAATTATTTCACTTACTGCCTGGCTCTGTGTTGTAAGTATTTGTGCAGTGAACTGGTCTTACCATCTTATATATTAACGCAGAAACAGTCTCTATTTAAATTGTTTGTGGAGACTATCAGCTCTAATAATGCAATTTAATTCTTATGTCTGAATTGAGGCTAGTTTAGTGCAGTGCTTGAATGACATAAACCGGTCTCATGTGGCATTATTTTCACCTGCTTAATTTGTAAATTCATAATTTTGCTGTCAGGTATTGCAGGAGTTATACAATCAAGAATATTTTGTCCACATACAAATACGTTGTTCCTTTTCCAGAGCTGCAGTTTGTGGGCCAAACGGACAATATACAGTCATGCAAATTTGTTCAGACCATGGAGCAACGGTTACAGAGAGCATTTCAGGATGCTGAAAGAAAGGTCTTAAACACCAGCAACAACTTAACAGTTCAGGTACAATGTGATGTGCTTTGCTAGTGCCTGTTGCCAAGCTCTCTGGGTTATTCTTTCCTATGTGTATGCTTGTATTTCAACATAATGGCTTTGATAGGCACTATGGAAGTGTGTTTATGTTTTCAACTGAAATAAGACTGTTTTATTTATTGTAGGAAAACTTATAAATGCATGATTTAAAGAAGACTGCTACTGTTGTTTTAGTGAATTTGGATTTTACTGTTTGCAGTAAATTTAAAAATAATGAAGTAAAAATAATTTAAGTGAAATTCAAATAAAAAACTATATATATTCTTCCAAGTTTGTGTTTACTGAATATGTTATTCTGACATGTTAGTTGCTTTTAGTGAGGCTATTCAGGTATAAAGATAGTGTCATGCATAGCTGTTTGTAAAATCTAAGCTAATGGATATATTTCTTTCTTTTTTTTCATGTGCATGCCATTTCTACACTTGCAGATCCAAATTCACTATTAAGGGCCTGTTTTTTCCCGAACTTTATATGTTTAGTGGGCCAATACCCTTAAGCTCTGTGCCATATTTAGGAATAAATAAATTGTCCTCTGAGTGATATTATGATATGTACTTTATGTGTAGTAAAAATCTGTGTATGGACTTGCACTCCTCAGAATAGTTTGCAAGTAGTTTACCAGGAGAAAATTGGTCATCAGAGCTCTGCTTAGTTACTTTGGTACTGTCTTTTGTGAACTTGTGTTCAAATCGGAGGAGCTCAGAGAGGCAGAAAAGTAAGATATGACCTACTGCAGTAGCTAAAGTGATTATCTAACTTTTCAATAGTTGGACCCATGATGCTGAGGGGACCTTCATGGTGGCTAATTTGATCACAGAAGTCACGGATCTTACAAAACACCAAGGCAATTTTGTAAAGAGCCCTAGAAGAAGGTGGTAGTTGTGGGTTTTGTGGATATTGCCAACTTAGGAAGTGACAGAATAGAGGTCTTGGAGGCAATATATAAATTGAGAATTAAGAGGCTGAAGAATGTGATCTTCATGAAAAAAAAATATCGCAAATTAGTCCAGTACCATGCAAAGAACTAAGTCAGTGCAACAGAAAATAGTGTGAGGGTTTTAGATTAGTTACAAAGTGAGGAACAGTTCTGGAGCAGACAAAGCTGATTCAGAAAAGGTGCTGCTGCAGTACAGGAGTAGAGAGAAGGGCAGCAAGATGAGTAAAAGGCAAAAACCAACTTCCACACAAGGAGAAATGAAATTGGCCATGGTTCTCTGACCATGAGTGGTGTAGTGAGTCAGGATTGATAGTTTTTTCCCATAACAGAACTACACAGGTTTAAAGATAAGAATAGTATTTTCACACAGTGGGATAATAAAGTCTTGAAGATGTCTGGATGTAACTGGAGAAAAGGTATTGAGGTTACAAAAAGCAATTGGTCAACATATAGAATAAAAAGTCATCAGTGCTTTTTAAACCCAAGCATAAGATTTATGGCTCAGTCTACAGCTGTGAACTAACTTTATACTGCAGAAGAGAGTCCTCCTCTTTTGCCCTGTGCTTGTTCTCCAAGCATCTGCTCCCAGCCATTTTTAAGTGAACATTAGGTAGGCATGCCTTTGGTCTGATCTAGAATTCTCCTTTCAATGCTTTTACTAGACTACATTTTATGCTTATGCTTATGCTTATATTTACTATTTGAATAACTTTGGGCTATTTAGAATAACGTTCATGAATGCTGAATGCTGTTGACCTTATCTACAGTTCCAAGCCAAAAAAAACCCCTCTTGTCCTAAGGCGTGAATTTTGTGAGAAAACATGTTACTGCCCTTCCTTTACCTCTCTGCTTCCTGCATAAAACTGCTGTTTGAAGATCTGATCCAGTACTTACTAAACAGAATTGGTCCCTAAATACACCACTCATCAGAATTGGGCTCAGGAAGTGACTGGCATAGAGCTAATGGTGAGGAAAGCAGGATGCTAAGAGTAGAAGAGACACAATATCCCTTTATTTCGTGTGTAAAAGGTGTAAGTCTAGATAACTGCACTAGCCAGGCAGCAAAGAGAGAAGACATACATGCCTAATTCCTCCATATCAAACAGTGAACAATTTTTCTACTAAGCATCCTCTCCCTCATCTTACAATTCCTGTTAAAAAAATGGGGAAAAATATTTTCAGTGTTGACTGTACCTTTTCTGTCTGATGCTGTCGTCTGCTAACTCTGCATGTGCTAAACTAGGAATTAAAGTATCACAAGCTTTTTTACACAATCATATTGAGTAAGCTGTATCTAATCCGTTGTTCAAGTTAATGTTTCCTCAGGTTGTTTGCATTGGTTTAGAGATTCGTTTGTTTGTTTGTTTGCTTGTTTATAATTGAGCTGAAACACAGCTGCACATTATTTTTTTACCTCTGTTTCAGATTTTGAACACCTCCAATGTCTCCCAAGCTGTCACTCTGTTTTATGTAGTGAGCAATCAAAGCACAACTCTAAATGGCACTATTTCCAGCAACCTTCTTAATCAGCTGTCAGCTGAGCTGGTGGGTTTCTATCTAACCTACCCACCTCTCACCATTGCAGAATGTAAGTATGCACTTCCCAGCACACAGGTTAGGATTAGCCAGTGTCAGGCTTTTGCTTTGCAAGCACCATAAGCCTTGTTTTCAAACACACACATTGTAGGTGTTTTTGCCTACAACTTTTTTAAACTACTTTTTTTTTGTTTTTCTTTTTAAAGGAGGAGGGATTAGATGGAGGGGTTTTGGGGGTTCAGTGTTTACTTCAGCTCCTAGAAACACTGGCAGATAATTAAGACACCACATATATGCTGATATTAATTAAAAAATGCCTATGCCACAGATGCCAAACACAGTAAAATTGTAGTTTTATATAAAACAAAACACAGAATATGCCCAATTCTTCACTTCAGGAAAGCTTTGCACAGCACTTAATCTTCTGCATAGTCTGTTACTGCAGTGGAAGACAGCCCCTGATGCTTGCTCCAGTGGCAGGGCTGGGCAGCACACTTTGAGCGTGTGTTTGGGTAGTGGGTGAGCTTTATCTATGGTTCTCTGTTTAAAAAGTTGTTGGTGTATTTGCTGAACTTCATCCTTAGTTTAAAATGTGGTCCACGCACTTTCGCATTAAGAATTTGCTTGCATTTCTGGGCAGCCCATGCGACGTATATGCTCTATGACTCTGTGTGCTAATTCATCTAAAATGAAGAAAGAGACAAGACATTTGATTTCTGTTTAGTCTGCTTGTTAAACTCAGTATGTGAAATTAAGCTTGCTGTAGAGCTGGGTTGTCTGTTCACTGGAGGACATCAGTGCTTACTGGGAAATAAGAAGAGACAGGGATGTGCTGGGTATGTCAGTGCATGCTAATGGACTCTGGTTAAGGAAGGGCAAGTTTCATCTGATGTTGCTGTGTGTCAGTCTTCATGAGTTGCTTGTTAAATTTGAGATACTGCACTCAAATACCAGCAAAGATCTGGTTAAGCTTCTGGTAGCTATCAAACTCACTGATAAGGCTAAACCAGTGATGGAGTAGTTTGTAATTTTTCATTTCACAATTACTGAAATAATCAGGTGTATGAGGGTAGAGCCAGATATGTATTTAGAATCAGAACAATGAACTGAGTGGATTTATAGCTTTAGGTAAAGTTAGTACAGTGGTGGTTCATTTTTCTGATTCTAAGAAAAAGCAGAACCAGGCTGCTGGAAAGGGAGCACTGGGGAAAACTTGAATTACTTGTTTGGTCTGTCCATCTTATTTACAAACAACCCAACAACAGAGTAATTATCTATCTTGTTCATCAGTTACTTGCACAACAAGCACCCTGCTGTCTGGCGGGGAGTGGTCACTCTTGTGCGAGGTGGTCAGGAATCACAACTAACTCTGATAATTCTGCAAATCCTTGAAAAAGAAGTAATTCGTTTTATTCTGGAGGCATTACCTATCTAAATCAGATCTTTGCAACCAAATGTCTGTCGGTGAAGCTGCCCAGTGAGGAGTTCTTGCACTGTGTTGGTGTGCTTTTGAATTGGACTATCACAGGGTAAGGGACGTGTCTTAGGCTATATTTTGATTTTCATCAGGTCCTTTCACAGGAAAGGGGAGGTAGAAGGAGGTGAGTGACAAATGGTGTGTGTGGAGAACTAGAAAGGGATGCAGACCATTTATGATGAGATGGGCTCCTTCCTTTTCATGGCGGGTAAGCCTGTCTGAAGCCTGCCCCGTGTGCAGGACTCATGTTCATGGAGCATCTAGGAGCACAAGGAGAAAGGCTAAGGAAGTATTGGTGATGGCTGTGGTCAGTTCAGTTTTTTGGCCTCCAAAATGGGCCTGTTGCATAGGAAGAAGATTACGGTGCTTCTTACAAAGGCAATACAGGCATGTGCTGGTATTCAGGAGCTGCGGAAGGCATTTGTCTCACAGTAAGAGTCTCATGTGATATTGTAGTTCTCTGCTGTTCCCCACACATGATGAACTGACCCAATAAAGTCTTTAGGTAGTGCTCCTTTAACAACTAATGGCTTATATTTAATTTTGGAGTCCTTGGTTTTATTTCCCGCACAGCAGGTATACTGCAGACTCATGAACTTAATGTGCTTCAGTATTTATGGCTTCAGACTGGTAGTGTGTCTTGTGAAAATGTTTACTTTGTAAAGTGTTTGATGCTTATTCATGTGACAGCACAGTTGTTTCAGTTTATCAAACAAGTATTGCTGCTGTTCTCAGAGCAAGTTATTCCCCAGTAGACTCTGGTGGCTCCTCCAAAGCCTTTGCAGTTTGTCATGGAAATGTACAGCTCAGGACATGCCATGAAATCCGTCCTCAAAAGCAGATACGGTGTGTAATCAGATGCTTTACAATGTTTACTGTTTTAAGCCCCTTTGGAGTTTAAAAATCAAGGTAACTCAATAGCAGTGTATCAACATGTGGGGCATGGATATTTTCTGAATTAGGTTCCAAGTGTTAATGCTTTCCATGTTGTGTAAATCTATTGAAAAAAATTCTGCATAATGAATTACCAGCATATTGAACTTTGCAGCTTAATGCACTTTGTTGATGGAAAAGCTAACAAAAGGGATCGAAATAGCAAACATGAGTTTCTTAGAGATGTAAGCACATAGGGTAGTAATACCTTAAATGGTGCAGAGTGAGAGAACTCTAAGGTGTGTTCACAGTATCATTAGTCTTGTTTGTAATTCATGTAGACCTGCCCTCTGTGATTGGTGCAATCTGATCCTTCTTATATTTAAATACTATTTTAAGTTAAAATTGCGGTCTGGGTTAAGTGAGGATTAAATCACAGAATCACCATATAATCTCGTCTTGTTTTCCCCAGGGGATTACTCAGAGAGAGAAAGCAGCAGAAATGTATATAATAGACACATGCATATTACCTATTATTTTCAGAAAGGGGCAATCCTTGGCTTTGCCCCAAACAATGTACCAGCCAATATTTTGGCAACAGATGTATGTTCTACTTTATAAGGCAGCACTTGTGCTGTTTGCACTTGATGTCCTTTTTCAGACTGAAGAGAAACCCTGAAAATTATGCCTCTAGATCTCTTCCTGGGCCATAGTTAAATTTTATTTATTGCTTTCTGGTTAACTAAATGGTTTTGAGACCTATAATGTGTAGGATGTTGGAATATTATGACATAATTTCATCTTTTATTTTAAAGCTTTGGAGTATCCAAACCTTGATGTCTCAGAGTCAACTAGAGATTACTGGGTGATAACAGGTACTTTTTAATTTTGTTCCCTCCTCCATGCACTTCAAATAATAATTTTTTGTGCTTGATTTTATAAACATATCAGTGCCATAATTTTACACAGTAATAAGTGGCTATCCACTGAACCTGCCTGTTGCATTCAACTGGACAAATGTATTTAAAGTTACTCTAGGGCATAACTGTGATTTATCATATTTGTCATCTTGATCAGAGCTGTCTCCTGCATCCAACACTTACCTCAGAATTAATGCCAGTTTGGTTTAAGCACTTCTGAGAGCAGCATAATCTCCTCAGAGTTTAATAACAAAAAGGCTTTTTAAATGTTTTGGTCCCCTTGGGACTTGGAAATATGAAATCAAAAGAGGCTTGTAGGCATAACCCAGGAAGAAAGGTGATCTCTTAAACTGAGGAAGTTTGTTAGGATTTGCTGACTCTGTCTGAGTCCAGGAATTTTTGCATCTTTCATCTGAAACATTAAGCATGTAACTTTGTTGGTGGAAAAGAAGGTGCAGAAAATGCTACTAGGCTTCAAAATGCCTGTTTTATCACAGTCATTTCACTGGTATCACATTCTCATTCACAATCATTTTGACTTTAGAAGTGATAACTGGGAAGGAAAGAGATCCTTTCTCCCAGACATCTTTGAGTAGATGCCAAAGCCTTTCTAATCAGTGTGTCTGTGGCTGGAATGGTTTGATGCTCAGGAGAGCAAGAGAAAGGAGCCTGATGTGAAACAGATTAAATTCTACACTTTGCTTCCAAAAGATGCTGTGGTTTGGTGCCTGTTGTATCAATATTTTGAGATAAATTTTGAGATAAAAAAAGTCTATGCTGAGATTATGATTCTCTGAAGGGAGCAGTTTGGCTCCACCCCATCTGGACCCCATAAACCATTTCTTGCCTTTGTGCACATACTGCAATGCAGTATTATTGATACTACAATGGAAATGCTGTTTTAAAAAAAATCATGATGGTCCCAGGAGATTTTTTTTTTTTAAAGAATACTGAAAAATCATACATTTGTATGAATTAAATTAGCATGCAATATCACTTATTTGAGCTTTATTTAAATTCATTGTCTCTTAAGTTCACATTCATTATTATTTAGGAAATGTTTATTCAGTTTTCAGTGCTCCCAAAAATATAGTGTTTTGTTTCAAATAGTTGCACAGAATTCCAACTTCACATTTCAAAACTGCTAGATGAAAAACTGTCTTTTAGTTAACAGGAGTATCTGGCAATAAGATTGAAAGCTGGCAGCTCTTGAATAGTTTTTCACATACTTTTTATGTTGAAGATCATAGATCAGGTGCTTCCTGGAGCCATTTTTGTAAACTGAAGGGCTAAGAATGTTTTTGGAGGATTTTGTTCTCTGACACATCATTGACATTACCTGAGAAGAACAGTGCAGGGGCTGAAATGGAAGCACATTATATCCCCATTGGGAATTACTGAGGGGGTGTAACAGTGTCCAGCTATTGTTCTTCTAGGCGAGTTAGTACATCCATGTCCCAAGCTGCCCTGCATATCACATGTTACTTAATATGTCCATGTAAGTGTGCTGATATGTGATTTTCTCCATTCCCACAGTTATTCAAGGGGTTGATATTGCATTACTGGGGCTGAATAATCAAAGCTTTGCAAGATTAATGGAGCAGCGTTTGGCCCCGCTGTTTATGATGTCCCATCAGCAAGCAAGACGATTCAAACGTGCTACTACTGTGGGCAGCTACACTGTGCAGGTGGTCAATGCGATATCAGTTGTGCCTGGATATGTGTTGAAAAATGGGCTTTGTTTGCATGCATGCTGTCTCAATTTGTGTGGAAAAAAACCAACCAACCCCAGATCAACCTGTTTTACTGGGTTGAGATTTCCTGTCTATTTTCATGAGTACCAAGGCAGAGAGTGCAAAATGCATGGCATTACTAATGCGTTCCAGTCAGCTGTGTTTGCATGCCTCACATCTTCTAGAAATTATTAGTTAATCAGTGTTAATAAACATTTTCTCTTTGGTTGCTAAGAGGGATTGGTACAAAGTACATATTTTAGCCTAAAGCTAAATGAAGAGTTCCAGGCTTTTGTTCTTAAGTTTAAAAAAAACTCCAACTTTCCTAGGCCTTCCTTTCCTAGGTAATTCAATAAAGCTAGAACTTCTTTTTAATTTTTGTTAAAAAAAAAAGAAGTATGAAGCAGTCTTTATGCAGGATTAGTCATCAAATCATGTGGCCACTGATCACTTTATGAAGTAGAGATTTCAATCACAAGTAATTTATTAATCATCTTTCTCTTATTTAGCAACATTGCCTGTTCAGTATTTTGAAATGATCTTATTTTGTTTTCTTACTAATTTAACTGTCTGATGCTAGTTATGAGGGAATCAAAGAGGATCTGTCTTCAAAAATCACATGATAAGTTATTGCTTTTAAAAAATTACATAATGTTTTTCAAGAATTGCTTGTTGTGTACAAGCTACTACTTTTCTCGTTTGCTCACAATTCTGTGTGTTTTCCCACTGAAAGAATTTCAGGAATGCATTTTTACTGGCCAAAAGTGTGAACCTTTGTAAAATTTTCTGTGAAAACATGACATATTTTAGTCAATGACATAATGCAAAAGAATCACAGAACTCCTTTGCCCTCTCATCATTAGAAGTGTTTGACACTTCCTTTACTCTTAGGAAAGGCAGAGGGACAATGTAAAAATTCTGACAGCGTTCTGCAGAATAAAATGGAAAAAGCATGGTTCTCTTTATGGTCAGCCTGAAATCAAAAATAATGAGTATAGAAGTAAAATGTGAGGGACTTTTTCAACTGCGATATGTCAGTAAAGTATAATTTTTAATATTGGGACAGATTTTAAGAATTCTCTCTTTACAGAGGACTGTAATGTCAAAACATTTTATCCTTTCCTCCTTTTTACTGCATGCTTTTCTTAGTATAGGGTTTTAGTTTAGGATTATGTTTAAAAATTTTTAAGGCAGCAGTCAGTCCTGACTAATCTTAATAGCCTAGGCTATGAAGCAGAGAAGCTCTGATCCTGTGAAGTGTTTGTATGGAGCTTATGCTTCTGTGGGGTCTTGAAGGAGTTTCCTGTGTAGTGCCTTCATGTTGCTTCTGGCAGGTTTTGCAATGGTATAATACAAACGCAGTTTATTTCTCTTTCTCTCATTTTCTTTTTTTTTTTCTGCTTTCTGAAAGATGGTAAAAATCCAACGTATTCCAGGACCCAAGGAGCCGGCTGAACTGACATACTATACTTTATACAATGGGAAACCTTTGCTGGGCACCGCAGCTGCCAAAATATTGAGTACTGTTGACTCCCAGAGGATGGCGTTGACACTCGGTTATGTTATTCAAGTTCAAGCTGATCGTAAGAGCTCTTTTAAAAATTCTGTCATTTAGTCCTTTGTTTCTTCTATTTTTGTTTTTCTTTCTGTCTCTGTGAAAACACCAGTGTAGGTGAGGGGATCCGCTGTTGATCACACAACAGAATTTCAGCTGCACCTTTCTGAGCAGCTGCTTAAGGCAGGCTGCTCTTTTTCCTATGGAAGACAGACTAATCTTTTATTGTAGTAAATCAAAGATATATACCAACCGTTATTTAGCACATTACTGTAAACTTGGCTGTACAACTGATTTTACACTCATACCGTTCTATGAACTGAACAACATTATAGAACTGTAAAGTCATAGTTAGTTCTGATGCTAATGAAACCATGACACCACAGGCTAATGACTGCTGGGCTAAATTGCTATTCAAGTAACTTGGCACAATATAAAATGAAATTGTGTATGTGGGCTATCAAGATGTTCCTTATTTTTGGCTTGTTCAAAATAATGTAGATTATTTCTTTCTCAAAGGGATTTAAAAAAAAATAATTTTCACCAAGAATTTTGTAAAGTACACCACATGATTGTTAAAGATGTTATTTAGACACAAATCAGGAAAGTGAAGTTAGACAGAACTACTTATGTATATGGGCAGTTTTCAGATTCTAGATATGGTAGCATTGTTCAGAATACTGTGGCCAAAAAAGCAATCTATTCTTGAAAAGTAAAGTGTTAAAACTTGCATCAGTTACTGAGTGATTGTAAGCATAGGTGTTTTCCTAAAAAAAATAATTTTGGATATTCCTATATAGCTGACTCACAGTCATAAACCTGTGGTGGATCTTGGAGGGGTTTTTTGTGCGATAACATCTTAATGCACAAATCAAAGCCTTTATGTAACTGAATCTCTCCACTTCGGCAAGGTATTTATCCAGTTGGGAATCAAATTATATAGTGAAATTCTGTACTGGCTAAATAACATATAAAATGGAATGCCCTGGTGCCATTATTTTAGCCTGAAGGAGCAGTGATTTTGAAATAATTACATGTAATGCTGATAGGAAAAGGAGGGAGCACTGTAATAAGTAATCTATGTATCATCAATTGAGTTAGAGTTAATGATTGAGTTAGAAGATTTAAGTATGGTCTAATTTTCAGAGAATGCACAGTGTACTATACTGATCTTTGATTTGATCATGGTCTGTTACTGACTTTAATTGGACTGAAAC